ATATGTATAGTCAGAAGTATCGCCTTGATATGTAGAATCACGGAACTAGATTATCTAAGTCCGTGGTAGAATTTATATAAAAATTTACACATTAAAAGTACAGAGAAATGGAACGCTGTTTACAACTTCATAAGTGAAGTTAGATGGAAAGATACATATAAAACACTTTTTTTTTAATCATTAGAGACCAAAAATTAAAACTTAATGTACAATATCGAATCAAACAAAGAATTTTCGGAACAAACAAAAGCTAATATAAAATTTGACGGGTTTAAAAAAAAAGTCAAATTTTTTCGTAATTCAAATGTGGAACGCATTAAACACCTTTTTTTGTATGTGTCCGTAAACAAAATGTTATGGCAGGACGGAGCTCTTTTTTTTAAAAAGTTTTTTTTTTAAAATTAATTTTAACTAGTGGTGACTACTTTTCATAGATATCAAAGTCGAACTAAACCCATAACACATGTAAAATTACTCTGAAGGCCTAGCTTAGTTTAGGTCCAAATATAGCTGTAACAAATTCTCATGTCCCTGTGATTGGACTTACACCGTGATATATGTATTGCTCCATCCACGGTTAGACGATTTACAGGAACGGGCAGGAACGGGCAGAAATGGGCAGAAACGGGCAGGAACGGGCAGAAACGGACAGAAACGGGCAGGAACGGGCTGCAATCTATTAATTATTATATACATTAATGAATATATATATTAGATACATTTAAGTATCATTATCGGGTATAAGATCTATTTGATAAAAGGATTGCAATTACATGATCGGGGCAGAATCGGACTAAATTATATATATACATTTATGACGATATTACTTATGATACCTACATTTATAGTATCATATATTTTTTTATCGGGTATAAGATATATTTGATAAAAGAATTGCAAGGAATTAAGAGTATTGTATTGATATGGATCGGGCAGGAACGGGCGACGATTTACAGGAACGGACAGAAACGGGCGACGATTTACAGGAACGGACAGAAACGGGGGAG